ACCTAGGCCCAGTTTCAGTTTAAGTTGTAAGTATTCTTATTCAATAAGAATGTTAGTGATATAAATATTATTATTCTACTATTAACATTAATGCATACATTTTAAAGAAGCTTTTTACAATCTCTTGGAAGTTGATAAGTTGAAAGGGTCATTAAATAATGTGAGTCATGCATGCTGTTTGACTTCAACCCTAGACAATATTTGTGGCTTACATTAGATGATATGAAGAGACTGTGAACTACGTATGCCCTTGGGACAGGAAGAAAGGTGCTGCACACCTTTCGTTAAAGCTCTGAAATTGATTTTGTACGTGTGAATCACCACTGGGTTTTCCAAAATCACAAAAAAAAAAAAAAAGAAAAAAGAGAGAGAGAGGAAACTATAGATAACAAATAAATGAATTTTGTTTCCTTAAAAGCCATTTAAGGAAGAAAAATCTTAGTTCAGAAATGCATAGTATTTTCAAAATGAAACAGACAATTGTAAAAACTCACATTTCAGGTGAGAAGCAGTAGATAGGGTCCCCTCAGTATAACACCTGGAAGTGTGACCATCCACACATGGTGGAAACCGGCACGGAGTTTAATCTCCATGGTGTGATTTACAAGCTGAGTGACTTCTTTCACGGTTTCTGTTTTTTTAGGGTGTTGTACTATCTTCTTAGTTGCAAGCTTTTCAACAATCTGTCCCTCTCTTCTGTCTCTCTGTCTCTCTCATTGTGAGTGATATACTTTAAGACAGAAAAAAAATTCATTCATTTAGATACTCTCCAATGCTCTTCTGGCAAGCCTGTAAATGGCTACATTCAGTTCAAGGGTCCTGGTTAAATTAGCCAGCCCGGCTGATGTAATGGTGGTTGGTATAAAGCACTGAATGTGTAGGGAGTTCCTCTCAGATGGAGGACCATGGGCATGTGTCACAAATCCCCCTAAAACGCTGCAGCTCTTTCAGTCTTCACTAGGACTGGCCAGTTCTTCTGTTAGCATATAAAAGATGGCACAGGCTGGGCAAAGAGGGAAAAGCAGGAGTCAAAGTTAACAATTCCCAAAAGAATATCTCTTAAATCAATCATTTTATACTGAGGAATTTTCTTGTTGGCTAATTTGTCCCTGTACAATTGTGCTGCATTATACCCACAGATGCAGAAGTTAAATGAGAAGAATAATGCTTGTTATAGCTAATATTTATTTAGTAATTAGGCTAAGTAATCTCATTTTACTCATATACTAATCCATAACTACACTTTATTATTATCATTCCCTTCTTATAGATAAGAAAACTAAATTTCAGAGAAGGTAAGTTACACTTCTTAAAGCCAATAAATGGTAGGCACAGGGTGTAGCCTAGCTTCTTCTGGCATTACCCCTATCCATTAGTGTTTCTCAGCTATAAAGAATTCAGGGAGGAAGAAAAGAAGCGTATCTTGCAGAAGAAACCTGAGACTAGAGGTCAAAGGGGGAAAATATCAAGAGGTAAATACTCAAGACTGAGAAACTCTTAAGAGTTCTGTGTAACACATGGTTAGTGCCATCAATGCAGCAAGGAACAGAAACTGGCCAAATCACTTTCTGCTTTTTGTTAAAGATACATACTGGTGACTTGATAACTTGTTTGCTTTGAGGGTCCCAAGCCGGCGAAGCAAGCTGGGAGAAAAGGAGAGGTGTCCCGGACTCATGATTTCCTAAGTAAGGTGTGACTCTACTACTTTTCTGATAATGTGCACTAATGACCTGCTGATAGACACTAAACATTTTATAGTAATTACCGAGGAGGCATCTTAAAAACAAGGTGTACAATTAATTATACTGCATAATCCTGAACGTAATCATGGTGAGACAGAGAAAGACAGACGGGTGGGGGACTGGGGGGAGCGGCCTCTGCCTAGTTAGAGCAGAATGAGAGACTCGGGGAGGGAAAAACAGCTGCCTAGAATGTCCTTGGGTTTTTTTGCTAGCAGTTAAGGGTGGCGCGAGCAGCCAAATTTGGAAATATAGACAACTTTCAATGAGATTAGTTGAAACAATGAACAGCATACCAGCGGGAACCGATAGAAATTAGACAGACAAGTCAGCTAAGCACCTCATCCAAGCTGGAGATACAGGCCCCTAGCGCAGCGTGGTCACCGGCGCTCTTGTCCCCTCCCAGCGCTCGGGGAGTTCGGCGCTTTTGTTTTCTCTGAATAAAAAAAGGCTTTTTTCTCCTGCTTGCCCACCCTCAGCATTTGACAAATTCATTATTCCACTCCGTGAACACGAACCCAGTATCAGTGGCTTTACTACTACAGATTCTGTCCTCTATATAGAAAACCGAATTTGTTCAGATCACAAATTACATCTGAGGTGGGTACTGACTTCTGTTTGATGTGTGGTACTTCAATACAGCACTGCTCATTAGCCTTTGGGTAAACCTGTCCTAAATAATTACTGAGGCAGACAGAGTTCTTCAATTTGGGGGAAGAAAAAAAAATTCCAAGTCAAAATAAAGAGGGCTTGTCACCCAGATCCTATTCTCTATAAAAACACTGCTAACAAACTAACAGGATAAAGACAACAGATTAAAAAGAAGCAAAAATAAAGGTTCATCAAGATCCCATTGTAAGATCTAGAACGTTGAGTATTTCAAATGCTTCACTCTTTCTGTTTTGAAGAAAGTGTCACATTAGGAGAACAGTTTAACATAATATTTTTCTTTAAGTTCCTGGAAGCCCGTGTGGTGCCTGGCCCTACTCTGCTGTGGGATGAAATGCCCTCCACTTACAGGCATACACATCCACCACAGTATAATTTTGACCATACTGACACTGAGCAATGCATTGGGTCTGTGTTTGTCTGCTAGGAAACCTGATGAAATTTCTGTATTTGCTAAACTGTTGGAGGGTTTCCCCAAACTCCTAATTCCAGAGAACTCATGACTTTAATGGAAATTGGGATGTCCACTATCTTGGAGTTCTAGGTAACAGGCCACCTCCTGTCCCAGCCCTGGTGAAACTACATTTCTTGGGCTTTTTTTTTTTTTAAGCTCATAGGGTAAGAATTCAATACACACACTAACATGATCCCCTGACCTCACCCTAGTCCTGCTGGTTGCAGTAAATAAAACACTCCTGACCTGAATCTCCACCCTTTTGACCCAGGTCCGGTTAGTGGTCATCCTGTCTCATTACTGGACAAAGCCACAGGGACCCATCCAGCCACTGGGTCAGAGAGTCACCTAGGGGAGAAGTCAAGACCTGAACCATTAAACAGGAGACAAACCTGGGGGTGGCAAGTTATTCCCAGGAGACTGACTGTGGGGGTGGCAAATGGATACAACATTGCTCATTGCAAGCCTGAAAAGCTGAAAAACAACTTAATGGTGTGTGTCTCAGCGTGGGCCCATTCCACTGTGATAGCATAGAAAAGCCAATGAGCAACATATTATGACTCACATCCTGGCATCAACATTAGACAACACCTTAGGGTTAATTAAGGAAATAAAAAATAAGTATCAAGGCAATATCAAGGTATATTTTTAATTTGCCTTGGAAAGTTGGGCACATTATATTTTTTAGCTCACAAATTACCTGTTTTTGAAGAGTTTATGTTGATACAGCATCTATATGCCAAAATGGGGCTAGTGCCTAGTCCATCTCTCTTGTGCTCTGTCTTAAACACGTATAAGGGACAGATACGGGTCTACTGCTCCACTTGTTTGTTCTCTCTCCTCTCGCTATAGCATCTGTACATTATATTGGATCACGTACCTTCCATCATGTCGAAATACACATGTGTCTTTAGCCCAGACAGGTCATCCTTACTCTGTTGCCACTGCCCATAATTCTTTATATGTATTAGACGAAATCATATGAAATTGCCATTTTTTGTAGGTAAAAAACAGTCAGTTCTGGCAGTCTCAAATGGCTCAACCTTATATTTGTGTGTATGTGTTTGTATTATATAATGTGTGTGTGCGGGGGCAGGGGCTCAGGCAGAAGCATTTTACATATTTTACATCCATTAATTTTTGCAATATCCTATTAAGTGGGGCACTTTATTCAAGCTAGACATGTGAAAACAAGAGCTAAGAAAATGTCTATCTATGGTCTTCCAGGATTCAAATTTAGATTTCTTTCCCTGTGCAACATACTCTGCCTGGGCTCCCCATTACTGAGATTATTTGATTGGCTGAATCATCTCGACTTCAAGCCATCTTGGGAAGAGACCCAAATGAGTGCTCCCAAGCTCTCAGACGTCTCTTCTCTCATGCTGTCCCAGGATGTGGCGTTGGACAAAACAGTAGGTCAGCATGTTCCATTAGCAAACATTCGTAAAATTAATTTAGGATGTTTCAATGATTGTGACACTTCTACAGGAAACTTTGATTAAATGTTTTAATCTATTTTTGAGGGGCCCAGGTCTGGGCAAAATCTTGCATTTATTTTAGAGTTACACTAGTTTTCCCAGAAATTGGAAGAAAAAAATGTGCTTATAGTTATACAAAGGTGTCCAAAGACTGTGAGATCTAGTTCTCTCCTCTTCCAAATTATAGAGCGTGAGAAGTGGTTTGCTGGCTTTCCGGTTCCTTCTCTGGACATTTTGGGAAGTAAGACCACAGCAGTCTAGATTTACATTGTTGGGATTTTTTTTTTTCCAGCAAATGCTTATGCAAATCCATCTTTTCCTGTTGGTCTTTGACTGGTTTGTTTTCAGCTTACATTCTTGGCTGAACAGAAGTTCCTGTTTTTTGTTTTTTTTCTTAATCCTTTGCACAAGATCATGAGAACATTGCATTAAACCCCATTCACAGCTCACATTTTTAGTGGTGAGAGGTGGCAAGTAACCTGGTCTTAGATGAGCAATCCAGCACCTTCAGGATTCTCTGAAGGAGCAAAACATGAAGTCAACATAGCATAGAAAAGTAAAGCGGAGCAAGGTCACCAGGAAAATAACCTTTGTCCCAGTGATCTAGTTTATTAACTGTAAAGGAAGAGTAGGGAGAATCATTCCCAGTGCAAACCTTACCAGACAGGAGGATCCTGAAGAATTAAACTTTTCTCAAACTGAATTCTTTGCATACTTGGAAGTTGGCACATGTGTTCTTAGGGGGGTCTGCAAGGCTCCCGTGAGAAGTTTTTCTTCTGTGTTTTCATTTTAATGGTCATCTAAGAGTAATTAGCATAAGCATATCTGGGGTTATTTCGGTAACCACCTTGTAACCAAGAACTATGGCATGATTTCTGGCCCAAGTTTGCAGTTGTGTTGATGGATTATTGTGAAGTACTGAGAAAAAAGCAGGGTAAAACTGAACAGGCGAAGTGAAAACTACACAATATCATGAGCATTGTATGAAGGAAGATTCTGAAGTAGAGAAAGGTTGGGAGAAGTGCATTCCACCTACACATTAATGAAGGCCATCAGAATATATTCATACTGGGAGCTAAAATACAGTTGCCACAAAATTATACCAACTGTCACATTAACTTTATGTGGCTCATTTAAAACTTGTTGGGCTTACACTTTTAAATGTATGCCTTTTGAAATTTTTTTTTTTTTGCTCTGATAGCTGCAAAAGAGCTGTAGGCTTGTGAAATGTATAACTGGTGTTAGTTTGTACAAACGTAAATGCATTGGCTTGCTAGAGCAGCCATAACAAAGGACCACAGGCAGGGTGGCTTAAACAACAGAAATTAAATATCTCACAGTCTGGAGGCTAGAACTCCGAAATGAAGAGGTCAGCAGGTCCACATTTTCCCTGAAGGCCTTAGAGAAGGCTGTTCTAGGTCTCCCTCCCAGCTTCTGGTAGTTCTTTGGCTTCTGACAGCGTGACTGCAGTGATGTTCTCCGTGCATGCACGTCTGCACCCAAACTTCCCCTCTCTGCAGGGAGACCAGTCACATTAGATTAGGGACACACCTTATTCCAGTATGACCTCATTGTAACTAGTTATGTCTGCAACAGCTTTGTACCCAAATAAGTCACATTCAGATGTATCAGGGGTTAGGACTTCAACATATGAATTTGGGGGAGACAGAATTCAATCTGTAACAGGAAATAACATAATAAAATAATTTGTCATCATTAAAGAACCCAAATAATATTTTCCTTAAAAGTGGTCTGTATATTGCTCAATTTTGAGAAATCATGCTCAAAATTGTATCATTCTGGGAAGGACAAGAAATTAGTACTTTTCATTTGCTCATAAGAAACTACATTAAAAATCTTTAACTATTAAAAATAAATTCTATGGTTTGGCCCAAACCATAGAAAAGCTAGAAAAAATAGAATTGAATATTTAGTCAGACCTCTTCAAAAGGATGAATGTCTCAGCCTAGTGATAAAACAGAAATCACAATGGAAACAGACAGATAGTCTTGATGGCATACAAATGTGAAAAAAAGAAAATGTAGACTTTTTAAGAGGGCAGACTGTGGAAAAATAAGTACAACAAACAAAACAGAAAAGGGCTGGTATGTTTATTCTACAAGGCACATACAAAATGGTAAGCATAAGACCTCAATAGATAAGTAAAAGACAACAAGAGAATTTTTATTAGAAGAAATGTGACTGAGAAACAAATAATGAAGAAATGGGAATTTTTAACTGAAGGATTATTTGCAAACATACAAGCAGGTATGCATGAAATTGGGACTCTTGTACCTCACTGACACCAGGGTATATTGCTACCACCCATTTAGGGAGCATTACTGGAAATACTATAAACGAGGTTGTTTCACAAAGAGAAGAAATGTGCAGATGACCTTACATGACTTAAAAAATATTTTTTCTATTGAGGCGACATTCACATAAAACACAATTAACCACTTTAAAGTGCATAATTCTGTGGCATTTAATGCATTCACAATATCGTGCTACCACTTCTATCAAGTTCCAAAACATTTTCATCTTCCCCAGAGAAAACCCTGGTCCCATTAAGTGATCATTCCCCAAAGCCCCCACCCCGAACCAAGCTGCTTTCTGTCTCTATGGATTTACCTATTATGGATATCCTATATAAATTAAATCACACAATATGTCATCTTTTGTGTCTGGTTTCTTTCATTTAGAACCATGTTTTGGAGGTTCATTACTTTGTAGCATGTATCAGTATTTCATTCCTCCTTATGGCTGAATAATATTGCATTGTATATATCTATGCACCACAATTTGTTTATCCATTCATCCACTGATGGACATTTGGGTTGCGTCCATCTTTTAGCTATTGCAAATAGTGCTGCTACAGACCACCTTTAAGAAAAAAAGATCATATCTTGTATTTAGTCATTCTGATTCAGAAATTCTCTCCAAAGGGAATAACCTAAAATATGGGAAATTCTACATCTTTATGTTTACTTCAGGGTTAGTTAGTGTTAATCGGGAAAAAATATGGCTGCGGTAAAACCCAAGCTGACTGCTGTCTATTCAATCTTTTGCTTAAGCCTCATGACTAGTCCCCATTGATTGCACCTTTTTTTCCTAAAATGTATTCTTCAAGTGGCCTAAGTAAAGGTTTTCCAACAAGAAATCAGATCATCTCACTCCTTGGCTAAAATATTCCAATTATTTTCCACCTCATTCAAAATGAAACCAAGCGCCCTCTGCCTGGTTCCTGAAGCCCTGTGTAGTCCTGTTCCAGCCTCATCTCCACCCACCCTGCCTTTCCCTCTGCGCGGTCGCACTGGCTTCCCCTGTTTCTGACTGGCGACTTCTGCTATCTCCCCACGGTTCTGTTGCATTTTTCTCCGCGGTTTCATGGCCTCTCTTTCCTCCTTGTCATCTGACCTTTGTCCTACCACTTGACCAGAACTCCATTCTGGAAGTGACTCATATAAATAATGTTTATTGAAATAAAACAACCATAAGCTAAATCTTTACGAGGATCTCTGATGATATCCTTAAAAAGCAACTGCTAAAGACAAGAGTTTTAAACCTCTCTGAGTTTTTCGGCCAAACCAGCCCCGGAAGTTTCTCCCTATTTGGTCTCTGGCCACTAGTCATATTACTTCTTGTCCTCTTCCCCTTCACCAGGTGTAAACATTTTCCAAGTTGCAAAGCGCCTCCTGGTCTCAGCTCTTCTCTCTACACTGTTTCCTGGTGACAAGATATAGCACAGAACCCAGCACTGCTCTGGCAACTCAAGGATCAGTGACTCTGAGAGCGCTGGGAGTCAGCAATTGAGCAGAGGACGAGGTTGGAGTGCCTTGGAATTGGCTGGATCCAAAGAACACAAAGCGAACGTATCCCTGAGTACCTGTATCCAGCCACTTGCAGAACATGCAAGATAACACGAGGAGGTTGGATTCCCAGTGACAGGTAGGGCCAGGTGCTGGTGAAATTCAAATAACCAAAGCTACTGAAAAAGAAGAACAAAGCTGGAGGAATCGTGCTCCCTGATTTCAACAACAGGCACACCTCAGAGATATCAAGGGCTCAGTTCTGGACCACTGCAATAAGGCAAATATTACAATAAATTGAGTCAAATGAAAATTTTGGTTTTCCAGTGTGTATAAAAGTTATGTTTATACTATACTGCAGTCTATTAAGTTTGCAATTGCTTTATGTCTTTAAAAATGTACATATCTTAATTTTAAAACATTCTATTGCTAAAACGTTCACCATCATCCGAGCTTCCAGTGAGTTGTAATCTTTTTTTGCTGGTGGAGGGTCTTGCCTCAGTGTTGATGGCTGTGATTGATCAGGGTGATGGTTGCTGAAGGTTGGGGTGGCTGTGGCAATTTCATAAAATAGGACAATAATGAAGTTTACTACATCTATTGTCTCTTCCTTTCATGAACAATTTCTCTACCATTTTACCCACACTAGAACTTCTCTCAAAATAGGAGTCAATCCTCTGACACCCTACTGCTGCTTTATCTACTAAGGTTAGGTAATATTCTAAATCCCTTGCTATCACTTAAGCAGTCTTCACAGCATCTTCACCAGGAGTAGATTCTATCTCAAGAAACCACCTTCTTTCCTCATCCCTAAGAAGCAGCTCCTCATCCATTCAAGTTTGATGAGATCGCAGCAGTTCAGTCATATCTTCAGACTCTTCTTGTAATTCTAGTTCTCTTGGTATTTCCATCGCATCTTAATTCCCCCACTGAAGTTTTAAACCCTCCAAAGTCATCCATGAGGGTTGGAATCAACTTTATCTAAATACCTGTTAATGTTTACATTTTTACCTCTTCCCATGAATCATGAAGGTTCTGGTTGGCCTCTAGAATGGGGAATCCAGGTTTCCAAATTACTTTGCCCAGATCCAACAGAGGTGCAGCCACTGTGGAGAACAGTATGGAGGTTCCTCAAAAAAAATTAAAAATAATATTAGCGTGTGATTCCACAATTCCACATTTGAGTGTTTATCCAAAGAAAATTAAAACACCAATGTGAAAAATTATGCACCCCCATGTTCATTGCAGCACTATTTACAGTAACCAAGATATAGAAACAACCTGTGTCTATCAATGGATAAATGGATAAAGAAATTGTGAGATATACATATTTTATATATATATATATGAG